AATGAGGTTTTATTTTTCGGATTGAAAAAGGAATGGGGAATTGTGGAGAAAGAAAAACTCTGAGGAAAGCGGTTTTTACATATTTTAAAAGCAATCCAATTATAATTTATAGAAATGAAGCCTCTTAAGCAGTTTAATGATACTTCACTGACTATCCATTCCGATCCTGTCAACTTAAGTAAAGAAATACGCTTTTATTATCAGCAATAACGTCATTTTAGGCCATTAACTCGGATGTTAGTTATTTCGTCTTCTCTAAGTTTAAATAAAGTTGCACTTCTTTCCTAATGAAGTATCTCGGTTAATTGTTGCAAACGAAAACCAGCCTCTGGTTTCTTTGATCTCCTAAATTAAGTTGCTGGAGAAACTTGCCTTCTAGCTCTGCCCCATATCTGCTACACCTCAATGAGCTATATATGAAGAGGAAATTTATTTAAGCACTAGTAAAGCTCATTACACATAAACTGAAACAACAAGCTCAGTTTTCTGAAACGGGTGTTCATTTACAAAAAAATTTAACTTAATAAAAAGACCTCCCGCTTGAAGGTAACTCGCTTATTCATTAAGAGTCCGTTGGATCCTCACCACTCAATAGAAATGCAAGTTAAATTACTCTACCAGTGATAACAATAAGCCCTGCTGGTTAAGCTGTAAATTTTTAACCGGTCTATAAAAGTTTACTCAGAAAACTCTGCGATGCCTGCTTTTTCGCGAGAGGAGTCGGGGAAGGGAATTCCGTTGAGAAAGGTCATAAAGTTAACTATGGCGAGTGACAAATTATAAGCTCTTTAAAAGCTGACACCAATTTCCCAGAGGTTTAACCATGTTGACAAATAAACCTTGCTTCTCCACTGGTCCTTGAAAAAGCACCAATTTTCCCTGAAGTCTGTTTACATTGTATTTACAAACAAGCTAAAATCTGTGGAAACAGGACCACTTAAAATAAATAGCCCTTTTGAACAATTTCTGCGTAAAACAGATCAGGGCCGGGTTGTTCAAAGCTTAGTAAGTTTATGATTGAGTGCCTCATGTTTCTCATCCTCCAGCAGTAAATTATAGGGTTCAGGGATGAGTTGAGAAACAGAAATGTCACCGATACTACCAAAAATCTCTTTCTGGCGACACTTGGAGTTTTAATCCTCATGCAGATTAAGAGGGGCAAATAACAAGCTAGTAACAAGATGTATACGTAGAAGAAACTGACAGCTGAATGAACTAGTTTTGTAAAACGAGCCATTTCAGAAGTTTGTTCCACTTGATTAATTTGTAAGGAATGAATCTGATACCTGTGCCGTTTGACAATTAAGTAAATCCTGGTGTAAACAATAGTTGTAAGAATAACCCCTACACACCCCATAATCAAAAAGGTTAACAGGCAAACGTCTTGCAGATTCAAAAAGGTTAATAAAGAATTGGATGCACTTAACATCCATGTTGCGATCACCACAACAACAACACGCTTATGAGTTACAAGTTCCTGGTATCTGAGATGCAGATGAACAGCTAAGAACCTGTCTACACTCACAGCGACAACACTCAAGAACGAAGCTTGCGAAAATGTGAGACCAATTCCCACGAAGGCCTTGTATGTGCTGCATTTTGGATCGTTCAGTTGTAACCAATTGACAAGGAATGACGTGTAAAATGGTTCAACAATGAAACCAACACCAATGTCGGAAACAGCAAGACTCAGTAGCAATGTTCTCAATGTTCTGGGTAGCGAGGACGTTTTTCGCACCGCGTAGATTGTCAAAATGTTCAACATGATGGCGCTGTAGGTTAAGAAATTGTTGAAAATACAATTGGCGATGTACGTCGATCGTAAATCATTCATGTCTAAGATGGAGAGGCTATACCTAAACCCCTCACAAATAGATTCGTTCATGATGGTTTTTGGGCCGTAAACCACGTCCTTCTCGTTACATCTGTCTATCACCTCTTGCTTTCTGTACTATTTAGCGCGCTACTCCTCAAAATCGCATTTAAACGACGTTCTATTTAAGCAAGAAATTAAGAAACATCGTGACATTTACTGTCGATGAACATGTATTTTCCTCGTTGCCGACGGATTGGAACTGTGAGACAGATGTTCGCAAAAAACATGAAGCCTTGTAATTTCTGGTAAAAATAGATATTTGTTTGAGAGTTTCAACCAAACTAAATTCTAAGATCAAATCAAAACCATGGACCAAATACGGAACAAAAACTAAGCTGATCCACTTGAAACTTTAATCCAGGGACCATTTTTAAGGGTCATTTTGTTTTAAGTACATGCATTAACAGCAATAAGTACTAATGAAAAACTAGCCAAATATTATTTCCATTATCTGAAACAAAAACTCTCAAGACATTTAAACAGTTTTGTAAAGGTCGGTATCATCTACGAATTTTGTGGTTTACACGCCGAGGTGTAACAACAATGAAAAAGAAGGAGTTGGACATACTTAAATGTGGCTGAAATCCGTCGAACAGTTCGGTCAGAAATAACTTTTTCTACAATTCCTTACATAAATGATGACAAGTGTCGCTTTCTAAAAGCCCGGCAAATAAGATGTTGACGAAAAAAAAGATTCCCTGAAGCAAAGGGGAAAATCCACAACCTAAACCCCTTACAAATAGATTCATTCATGATGGTTTTTGGGCCGTAAACCATGTTCTTCTCGTTACATTTGTCTATCACCTCTTGCTTTCTGTACTATTTAGCGCGCTACTTCTCAAAATCGCATTTAAACAACGTTCTATTCAAGCAAGAAATTAAGAAACATCGTGACATTTACGGTCGACGAACATGTATTTTCCTCGTTGTCGACGGATTGGAACTGTGAGACAGGTGTTCGCAAAAAACATGAAGCCTGGTAATTTCAGGTAAAAATAGATATTTGTTTGAGAGTTTCAACCAAACTAAATTCTAAGACCAAATCAAAACCATGAACCAAATACGGAACAAAAACTAAGCTGATCCACTTGAAACTTTAATCCAGGGACCATTTTTAAGGGTCATTTTGTTTTAAGTACATGCATTAACAGCAATAAGTACTAATGAAAAACTAGCCAAATATTATTTCCATTATCTGAAACAAAAACTCTCAAGACATTTAAACAGTTTTGTAAAGGTCGGTATCATCTGCGAATTTTGTGGTTTACACGCCGAGGTGTAACAACGATGAAAAAGGAGTTGGACATATTTAAATGTGGCTGAAATCCTTCGAACAGTTCGATAAGAAATAACTTTTTCTTATGATCATCCTAATGATGTATTTCGGTTAATTGTTGCAAACGAAACCAACTTCTGGTTTCTTTGATCTTTGATGAGCTTTGTATGACGAGGAAATTTATTTAAGCACTAGTAAAGCTCTTTACACATAAACTGAAACAACAAGCTCAGTTTTCTGAAACGGGGGTTCATTTACAAAAAAAAATTAACTAAACAAAAAACCTCCCGCTTAAAGGTTAACTCGCCTATTTGTTAACTGTCTGTTGGATCCCTTCCTTATCACTCAATCAAAACGCAAGTCAAATTACTCCACCGGTGATAATAATTAGCCTCACTGGTTAAGATGTAAATTTTCACCGGTCTGTAAAAGCTTACTAAGAAAACTCTGAGATGCCTGCTTTTTCGCGAGAGGAAGGGCGGGAAGGAGAGAGAAAGGGAATTCCCATTACAAAGATCATAAATCTAACTACAACGAGCGACAAATTATAAGCTCTTTAAGAGCTGATACCAATTGCCCATAGGTGTAACCATATTGACAAATAAACCTTAATTAGCTTGCTTCTCCACTGTCCTTTGAAAAAGTATTAATTCTCCCTTGAGTCTGTTTACATTGTATTTACAAACAATCTAAAATCTTCGGAAACAGGACCACTTAAAATAGCCCTTTTGTACAACTTCTTGCGTAAAACAGATCAGGAGATTAAGGTTAATGGCTTGTATGTCAATTTATATAAACTAAAACCTTTTAATCCTTAACTATGGTGTTTACTTGCGCTTTTTTTCCCCACAATTTCAAAAGAGCTATGTTTTATTTAGAGCGCTTCATGAAGTGTCGTAAACGAAAGAAAATATACTAACAAGCCAAAAGGAATTGTAAGTAATACCAAACTGCCTGCGCGGCAAGAGTGAGCAAGTCGCGATTGATTAAATTTTGCATCCGATTGCAAAAGGGTATGGCGGGTGGCAGACCAAACACAGGGCAAAGTTAAGCACAATGGTAAATCAATCGAATATTATCCCTCCTTTTAAAAAATAAATAACATAGCATACACTAATGCGGCTTCTACCTACCCGCGCTGAAAATGTCGTAAGGTGTTCAGTAATTGAGAACAATCGTTGAAACAACTAACTTCCGAAAGAATCGCTAAGTTTCATCCAAAAACGAAACAACTTATCTCAACCACTACCTTTGTGTTGTTCAAAGCTCTTTCCTAGGAAGGTCGTAATTCTTAAACTAAAAATAAAACCCAAAAAGAAGCGAGATATTGCCTGGCAAATAGTTCACTGATCTCGTTCAAGTGAAATCTTCCATTACCTTATAGAGATAACAGAGTAGTTGCTCTAAGAGATCAGAAGATGGCCTGAATTATAATCGTGAATCGTTGTTTTTGTTCCAAGCTTCTAGTTGATCATCTTGAACGAATTGTTTTGCGAAGAGTTGGTTCAGTCTCATTTTTCATTGTCTGACTCAAATATATGCGTTCAACTTTATCTTAAATTGCGTCTTCGATGTCTTAAAAAGTTGTTCGCATCTGACTGTGTGACTACCTCAGCTACCTCTCAGTTGGGGGAACACGGTTTGACTGTAGAGCGACGTAGATGTAGACTATTTATGAGCCTTTGTCACTATAACGTACAAAGTCATCTTCTGGGTTGGGAATGTCTTGGTAGTGTCAACTCATGGCAACTCGTAGGTTTTTTTTTGCACTCGAGGAATAAAAGTTAGCAACAATTAAAATCGATGACATGGAATTTAAGGATTCTTGACGAAGCAAAATCACACCAATTATGAATGTGAAATGCGATTTTGGTTCCGAGACATGTTCCGCAGTGCGTTTAAGATCGAGTGCCTCATGTTTCTCATCCTCCAGCAGTAAATTAAAGGGTTCAGGGATGAGTTGAGAAACAGTAACGTCAACGATACTACCCAAAATCTCTTTATGGCGACACTTGGATGTTCAATCCTTACGCAGATTAAGAAGGGCAAATAACAAGCTAGTAACAAGATGTATACATAGAAGAAACTGACAGCCGAATGAACTAGTTTTTTACAACGAGCCATTTCAACAGTTTGTTCCACTTGATGCATTTGTAAGGATTGTATCTGATTCTTGTGCCGCTGTGCAATGAAATAAATCCTGGTGTAAACAATAGTTGTAAGAATAAGGCACGTAACCCCCATAATCCAAAAGATTAACCAGTAAACTTCTTGTAGATTCCAAAAGGCTAATAAAGAATTAGATACACTTAACACCCATGTTGCGATCACTACAACAACAACACGCTTATGTGTTACAAGTTCCTGATATCTGAGATGCAAGTGAACAGCTAAGAACCTTTCTACACTCACAGCGACAATATTCAGGAACGAAGCTTGCGAAAATGTAAGACCAATTCCCACGAAGGCCTTGTATGTGCTGCATTTTGGATCGTTCAGTTGTAACCACTTGACAAGGAATGACGTGTAAAATGGTTGAACAATGAAACCAACACCAATGTCGGAAACAGCAAGACTCAGCAGCAATGTTCTCAACGTCTTGGGTAGTGACGTCGTTTTTCGCACCGCGTAGATTGTCAAACTGTTCAACATGATGGCGGTATAGGTTAATAAATTGTTGAAAACACAATTGACGATGTACGTCGATCGTAAATCTTTCATTTCCAAGATGGATGGGCTATATTTAAACCCCTCACAAATAGTTTCGTTCATGATGGTTTTTGCGCCGTGAACCATCTTCTTTCTTCTCGTGGCATCGGTCTATTACCTCTTGCTTTCTGTACTACTTTCTTCCCAAGATCACATTTAAACGACGTTCCATTTAAGTACGAAATTAAAAACTATCGTGACATTTCCTGTCGATGAAAATGTTTATTCCTCGTTGCCGACGGATTGGAACTGTGAGACAGGTGTCCGCGAAAAACATGAAGCCTGGTAATTTCTGGTAAAAATAGATATTTGTTTGAAAGTTTCAACCAAACTAAATTCCAAGGCCAAACTCAAAACCATGGACCAAATACGGAACAAAAATTAAGCTAATCTTCTTGAAATTTTAATCCACTGTGAGGGACCATTTTAAGGGTTATTTTGTTTTAAGTAAATGCATTAAAAGCAATAAGTACGGATGAAAAACTAGCCAAATATAATTTTCTTTAACTGAAATAAAAACTGTCAAGACATCTACGCAGTTTAGTAAAGGTCGGTATCATCTGCTAATTTTCTGGTTAACACTCCAAGGTGTAATAATAACGAAAAAGAAGGAATTTGACATATTTAAATGTGGCTGAAATCAGTCGAACAGCTCGGTCAGAAATAACTTTTTCTACAACTCCTTAGATAAATAACGACAAGTGTATAGCTTTCTAAAAGCCAGGCAAGTAAGATATTGACGAAAAAAGATTCTCTGAAGCAAACGGGAAAATCCAAAACTATTATCTTAAATTAAGGAAAAAATTTTAACCCTTGACTCATATGTGAGGTTAAGTTTTCCTTTTCTTTTCAAACTTGCGACGTTCGATGTAAAGCGCCCAGCTCTTTTCGATTCATTGTCGAAAGCACATTGTAACTTTGAACCAAACCGAGCGTGAGCAGCCACGTATCAAGAAAAGCGGATCAGCTGAAAGTTGAGCAGGCTTTGTTTAACGATTAACAATGACCGTATATGGCTACTTTGGAACAATGGCGGAAACAGCTTTAAAATACACGCGGGATTTTTCAAAATTTCCGATTATCATACGAGCGGCAACCAACAAAGAAGGAAATATCATAATAAACCGCTAATAACTCCAAGTTACACATATATTATTTAGGAAGTAATATAGTTTGTCTCACGATATAGTCATTTTATAAACTGTTATTGCTAACCTCTACATGGAGTGTTTTGAATTTCAAGAGGAGGTAATCACTTTATCGTTCCCAACAAGCTTTGGGATCGGAAACACTACCTAGACGACACCTTCACCATCTTCGATCGCGAGAACTTCGATAGCTTCCTGCAGCATCTGAACCACACACAGCCTACCTTCACTTCACCGTGGAGAATGAGACCAAGAAAGGGGGAATGGGGAGAGCGTCATTGCATGACGTTAGCTCCTTTTTGAAGTTGCCATGGTGGTCTACGAACTAACAAGAAACAAACAAGCTTAAAAGGATCTAAACGTTAGTTCGCTGGACTCATGAATAAATTTTTCCCTTTTATGCACAATTCAGGATGACGACCAATTATGTTTTCTGTTCTCCTGGGTTAACATCTCAGTTTTGGAGTAAAATAAAAGGTTTAATAAGGTTTTATTCTTCGGATTGAAAAAGGGAATGAGGATTTGCCGAAAAAGAACAATTTTGAAAAAAAAATTTTTACAAATTTTAAAAGCAATCCAATTATAATTTATAGAAAAGAAGCCTCTTGAGCAGTTTGATGATACTTCACTGACTATCCATTCCGATCTGTCAACTTAAGTAAAGAAATACGCTTTTATTATCAGCAATAACGTTATTTTAGGCCATTAACTCGGATGTTAATTATTCCGTCTTCTCTACGTTTAAATAAAAGCGCACTTCCTTCTTAAAGAAGTATCTTGGTTAATTGTTGCAAACGAAAACCAACTTCTGGTACATTTCTTTTATTTAAATCGTTGGAGAAACTTGTCTTCTAGCTTCTAAGAGGAAGCTAACGTCATGCAATGACGCTGTGCCCCACATCTGCTACACCTTAATGAGGTTTATATGACGAGGAAATTTTTTGACTATTAGTACAGCTCTTTACACATGAACTGGAATAACAAGCTCAGTTTTCTGAAACGGGTGTTCATTTAAAAAGAAATTTACCTTATAAAAAAAAAAAATGAAAAAAATGTCATTGCGTTCTTATAACATTTTGCCTTCTATCCTCCTTAAATATCATGCAGTCATTGCATATCTCATAGCAAGTTTAACACTTATCAAAATAGATTACATAGAAAGGAAAGGTTTAGGACCAACGTGATGTGTGATTTCTCCGCAACAGCAAGTTCCGTATAACGTCCATGATAGCACGTCGAATGTGTCGCATCCTCCAGCAGTAAATTACAGGATTCAGGGATGAATTAAGATACAACAGAGTCAAAGAGAAAAGAAAAAGTTTCTTTAAATTGGTGCTCGCGTTGTTTACGCGAATGGCTGCGAGGCAGATAAACAGTGGCAAATAACAAAGTAAAAACACAAGATACACATAAAATGTGACGGTGGCAGAATTGATGAGGCGAGTAAAATTTGCCACTGAGCTTCTATGTTGTGCTTGGTGTATATGCAGAGATTGAATCTTATTTTTGTGTCGTCGTGCGACCAAATAAACCCTGATGTAAACAAACGTTGCGATAATAAGACAAAAAACTCCACCTGTCATACGAAATAGCCTTCGACCTTGGTATAGGTTCCAAAATGTAAGTATAAAACCAACAGCGCTAAACAGCCAAATGGATACAACCACAGCAACAACACGCCTGTGAGTCACAAGTTCCTTATATCTGAGATGAAGATGAACAGCTAAGAACCTGTCCACACTTATAGCCAGAACACCTAGGAACGAAGTAACCGAGAAAAAAGTACCGCACATTTGATAAACCATTGCGATAATACAGTTAGAATCATTCTGTTGCAACCAGTTGATAAGAAGGGAAATGTAAATTGGTTGAACAACCAAACCAACACCAACATCAGAAGCAGAAAGACTCAGAAGGAACGTTTTTAAAGTCTGTGGTAACGACGAACATCTTCGTATCGCGAAAATCGCTAACATGTTGGACACAATGGTGTTTTGAGCGAGTAAAATGTTGAAGACACAATTGCAGATATACGTGAAACGCAAATCTTGAAAGTCCGAGAACGAGGGATAATGCTGAAGCAACTCGTCACAATACACTTCGTCCATGATTATCGACGCGATTCGTGAGCAAAATAGTTTCTTCCTTCGGTTCCACCGGATCGCTGTAGCACCGCTATGGTCACTCTCGAAGAAAGTTGAGAGTTATCTTGAAGATATTCTCTTCTAGGATGTCGCCGCTGAAGTGCAACGTCAAATTCAGACGAGTTCTTTCAATTGCTGATGTCGCTGGACAAAAGGAAGACGTAAGTAGTAGTTGATTAGCGGACAAATGTGTCATATGGAATTACCGAAGAAAAAAGTCAAATAATAGTTTAGCCAATTAATTATGAAATATGGCTGGAAATGATGCATATTACTCGTATTACGCTACAAGGTACTACAGAGTCGAAATAAAGAAATACATGTCGGCGATTTAGAATTCCCGTGCATTCAAATCCAGATGTTTCCTCTGTCTGGTGTTTGCTCGACATCATCAAGTATCGTGGGAATAAGTTCAAATTTTGGGTCTGTAAACTTTCAATTAAATCCTTAATGAATTGGATCAGTAATGAAAGTGCGATTGACACAGGATTGTATTTGCCAAACTAACAAAACATTTCCATATTTTCGATTTGCTAACAGTTAAACATCTATTTTATTTCAATCTTATTATGTTACAGAACACATTTTAACTGCGGTAATCTGAAAAAAGCGAAAAATAGTTAAGACTTCCTGGCTTTGAGCTCTCACATCAATAATACAGTACATCAAGAGAGAAGGTCATAATTACCATAAATTCTTGTTCATACATAATTATTTAATAACATCTCGAACAAACAGCCATGCTCAAGCTCGTGTCATCATATTAAAATGCCACTGGCATAATTAAAAATGATGACACGAGCGATGAGTCACAGGAGCGGTACCTAATTTCCAAAGCTTAGTTTTTCTTCTGTGTATTTTATAAGAAATTTCCTTCAGAAGAAAAGATAGTTGATTGGAAATGCTTTTCGAGAGATCTTGCGAATGATTTGTTCTTCTAGTCTATTTTGACAGCTCTTGACAGGTGTATTCTGACCATTATGTCATTTACACAGCACAACGATCCAATCGCGTGCACTGCAGGCCTACCCTAATCACCACTACATGCGTCCCGCATTTGCGAGTTGCCAAGACAACGAAAAGTCAAGAAATATTCACAGTAAAACAATTACAACTCGTTCACTCATTCGATAACAAAGAATAAAAAGAATAACCGATAAGGCTGCTTATTGTCTAATGTAAATTATAACATAGCTAGTAAATTTGTCTAACGTATAAACCAATTGTTAAGTGATCAAAGTGCTCTGTGAGCAAACTCGTGAATTGACACATGATTTTTTAGATTATGTTTAATGTTATCTGGTTTAGGGAATTTTGTGGTTGATTGTCATATCTAGAGTACGAGCAGTAGTTCAGTGTTCGCTAATGTAGCAAAGAAACAAAGTAACGTTGGGATAAGAAGGCATTACAATTGAAATGATCATGCTATCATTTGACAAGGTGGATGATGTCATATGTTTTAAACGTCTATCATTTTTGTTTCTGGTTCAAAAGAAAAGGTTGGAAGTAAATGTGGGTGAAAAGTGAAATTTACTGTCTTTCGTTGTAAATATTAGAAAATCAAGGCAATACTCTCTTAATGAAAACATTAACGATTCCCTCTTTATCAAATGAGACAAACGGGAACGAGTTTTGAGTGATATAACTAAGCCAAGCCTGCCACCGTCATTTTGGATCTCCGCCTGGGTAGATTTAAGTCACGTGCTAGGCAACGTATAATCAATAACAAGATAGAATTTAATTTCAGGCCTATTTATCAGTTTCGTGTTAACTTGTTATTTCGTCAGTCGCCGGCATCTTTTGTTGCTTCACACAGGAAAAACACACGCGACGAAACGTAATGATCAATTTTGTCCTCAATCTCACGCTATAACAGAAAAAGCTTTTGAACATCTGTAAACTCCGAGCGCTTCGCAGTAAGTGATATTTTCAATGAATCTTCGGATTGTTTTCAAGTTCAAGGATTGTAAATTACAATTTTATGAAAAACGGAGGTTGTTCTGTTATTTCAGTGTGAATCCTTGCATGCCTGCCAGTCGCTGGCGCCGCTTGTTGAAACTAAAACGGAAAAAAAAAACTCTTTTAAGATTATCATTGGCTTCTTTTTCACCCCACCACTATTCTTAGCAACAAAGGTCGCCATTTCGTCTGTTTATTACTCGCCAAAAACTATAAAATGCACTCAAAAGCCTAAAATCTAAAAAAAGTTTACAGGAATCGACCAATCGAGCGAGCGAATGCCATTCCCCACATCGTATCTATAACTCGCTCTTGCGCATGCGCGCAATTCACGAGTTAAAAATGAAAAAGTTATTGACATCAAACTGGTATTTCCTTCAAGATATCAGGAGTAAAACTAGATCATACTACTTCCGTTATACTTTAACAGTCAGAGAAAGATTGCATTATATACGATTAAGTTGTGTCATATCAAAACTAGGTAATCACAACGACCGAACAGAATGATGAAAACTTTCAGAAACAAGAAAACCGCAAGAAGCGCGAGAAAGCGAGAATTAGTGAATAAAATTTCTTTAGCTTTGCATATGATTGGTTTCACACACAGTTTATTAACAGGCACATCAAAACTTCACTTCAATCACTGAAACTTTGGTTGAAATTCCAGATTCCACTTAAAAGCAGTCCGTACAGCGCAGATTTCAAGTGGCCCTTGATAATCAAATTTTTTTCTATTATTAAAACTTTAGAAACTGATTAACTGGTTCTAAGATAAGTGTAATACGCGGTTTCTGTACCAAAACATCTTCTGCAGTACGTCCTTGACAGCACATCTAACGTGTCTCATCTTTAAGCAGTAAACTATTGGGTTCAGAGATGAATTCAGAAATACGACAGTATATGAGTAAAGGTAAAATCTCTTCATAGCGTTATTCGTGGTTGTGGTCATCTCGGCGATGGCTAAATGAACAATAATAGGCAAATAGCAAGCTAGAAATACGAGATACACGTAGAATATACCGACCACAGATTTAACAACGGAAGCAACATTTTCCATTTCGCTTCTGTTTTCTTGTTTTAGCTGTCCTTTTAGAGCCTGCATTTTCTTCTTATGGAGTCGAACAGTTAAATAAATTCTGATATAAACCAATGCCGTGATAAGAACAGACAAAATAACAATTACTATGTAACATAACGAATGAACTAAGGATGAGACCCAAAGATGCATCGAAGAGCCAGATGCGCTAAGCAGCCATATTGAGATCACTACAACGACAACGCGCTTGTGAGTCACAAGTTCCTGGTATCTGAGATGAAGATGAATAGCCAAGAATCTATCCACACTTACAGCCACGATACCTAAGAATGAAGCTACAGAAAAAAAGCCACAAATTATTCCAAACACGTTAAACGTGTTACAGCTGGGAATGTTTCTTTGCAAGCACTTGATCAGCAGTGACGAGTAAAATGGCTGAACAAGCAAGCCAACACCAACATCAGAAACAGCCAGGCTCAACAGCAGTGTCTTCAAATTCTTTGGCAACGAGGACGTTTTTTGCATCGCGTACATCGTCACAGTATTCAGCAAAATCGCGCTAAGGGACAAGAAAATATTCAAGGTACAATTTAAGATGTAAGTGAAACGAAGAACTTTGGCTTCTGTGGTCTTAACGAAAGAATACATCCAAACTTCGCAATTTGAGTCATTCATGATGTGATCTTGTGGAGTCAGCATTGACTGAGCAAGGATAATCCTTGTCGTTGTGGACAAGCAGGTGAAAAACAGAAATGCACTTGTCCAAACATTAAATATGATACATATCACAAATTTTCGTATTTGCATTAAAATGAAAGATTCTTGACGTGAGTTGGCGATGAAAAGCTTTTGTTGTGCCAATACAACTCAGTTTTGATTTATCAGATTTCTCTTACTCCAAGTCTTCCGATATAACTGATATAACCATATAACTATACATATAACTGATATAACCATATCCAGCACCACATTTAAATGTGTCCTTAAAGCCTCACTGTTGAGCCCAAATTTAAAATATCAAAAGTAGCCTATGATACTATCAGTTTAACATCTGTGTCAACTTCGGAAAAAAACCGAAACATAGAAATATTCTTTTAACTAGCTCTCATCTAAAAGTTTCGCATCGCATTATTGAATCACAGACACAAATATTTGGCAACTTAACCAGAAACTCCTGCATTTCGATTATCTGTAAAGGAAATTCACCAATTTCACTGATTTAAACAGTAAACTGCTCTCTCTTAAAATGAAAAAAAATTTTCTCCGAGTTTCATGATGCGCCGGTCACACCTATTAGGATATTTCTGCTAGGGAAACTTATATTTTTAATCGCCACAATCCTGAAATGATTGTGAGATGTTCATTGTCTTCTGCTGTCTTCCGTAGTGTCACGGCAAGAACTGAAAACAATGCGTTGGTGGCTATAAGCCAGAAATCACAAAAGGGCAGAACTCAATTGTGTATCAAGTGCGAATGTCGAACTACTAAGGTACTCGTAAATAAACAATAAATAGCACTGAGAAACACCGGATCAAACTTGGATCAAGATCAGAATTCTATTGTTACACTCACTCACTCACTCATCTCAACATCTTCGTCTCCTGTAGGAGGCAGTAGCCACAAAAAAACCCCGCTAAGTGTCACTAACAGAATTATCGACTGCCGAGTAAACTCAAAGAATTCACCTGGGGTGCATGAACAATTTAAAGTATTTGTTTTCAACAGATAAAAAAGAAAATAGTTTAATTGAACATTGGCCTTTATCTGTCTTATTAACAATTTGAATGAAAGGTTGTCATAAATGTTATTGAAGAGGATTTAAGATTGCGTCCATTAGTGAAGATCACGAGCAACAGTTGTCTTGAACTGAAACATGCTTTTCAAAGAGCCACTTTTGCTACAAAGCCGTCAAAATTGTTAAAAATTTTCAGGATATAAAAAGGGGAAGCTACTTATCAGATATTAAAAGTTACGAGGATAGTTCCAAGAAATTGTGGAAGAACAATGATAAAACCGACGCGATTTAGATTGTTTAACTTTCGGACATCAGTAACACAACTGCTGTCTGTCTGTCTGTATCCAACTTGTAAGTAAAATGTTCCACCGTCATATCTACTCACGCGATTATGGACACTTACAGTGGAAAATTAATTTAGTTAACTCTTAAATTCTTGTCTTAAGAATTCACTGTTCAAATTTCCTAAGTTTTAAAAGCAAAACTACAATGAGTGTGACGAACATTGTTCTGTGTCTGGTCTAGTTTACTTTTTTTATTGCCCTATAATGTCGACAAAAACATAGCTCATCTTTCAAGAAAAGTGTGTAGAAAACCTACAGAGTAAGTGCAGAAGGCTAACATGAAATGGAACTACGAGATCTTGTAGCAACAATTTACTGAAGACGTCAGTTTAACAGTTCGGAACTTCAATAGGTATCTGTTTGAGCACACGGGACAGTGGTCAGCACTGTTTTAGCGGATACATGGTGTAACACACATAAGGTAGTTTAACATTTTCTAATTAGGGATTTAAACAGATGGCAAGAGTTAATTGTTGGGTAAATACGGCATTTTAAAACGATTGTCTACCATGGTTACAATTTTCATCAAAGTAAATATTATTCGGTTGAATTTTACTGAGAAGAAAATTCATCTCACGCTGTTTACTTTTGAACTGTCCCAGTCATTTTATCCGCAGGAAAAAACTATGAACGCGCCACTGATGCGCGGCTTGATGTTGTAATGTTCCGCAGTATGTCTATGATAGCGTTTCGAACGTGTCTCATCTTCCAGCAGTAAATAACAGGGTTCAGAGATGAATTAAGAAATACAAAAATCGATGAGAAGAGATTAAGTCTCTTAAGAGCGATAGTCGGTCCACAAATAGCAATACCAACTACATAAGCAACAAACGGCAAATAGCAAATCAAAAATACAAGGTACACGTAATAGACACCAACCACAGTCCTGATAAGGCTTGTCAAATATGTCATTTCACCAACCCGTTGAATTTGTTCTTCATGCGGTTCCTGTACTTGCAAGGACTGTATCTGATTCTTGTGGCGTCTTAGAGTGAAATAAATCCTAGAGTACGCAATTTTTGTCAGTAGAATACAACCAATTCCGACAAAGCTTACAGAAATAAAACGGATAGTATTAGGGACCCACAAGATCGAAAAAGCAATGAAGAAACTAAGCAGCCACATCGACATGACCACGGCAATAACACGCCTGTGAGTCACAAGTTCCTGGTATCTGAGATGAATATGAATAGCTAAGAACCTGTCTACGCTTAAGGCTATGACACCAAAAAACGAGGCACCGGAAAAAACGTGCGATATGACATCGAATGCCCTGTAAGTAGGACAATCTGGGATGCTATGCTGTAAAACTCTGACCAAAATTGAAGTGAAAAACGGCTGGACAACCAAACCTACACCAACATCAGAAACAGCAAGACTCAGAAGAAATGTCTTTAAAGTATTGGATAACAAGGAAGTTTTTCTAATCGCGTGGATGGTTATAATGTTCAACACAATGGTGGTACAAGAGAGGATACTGCTTAACACACAACATATAATGCCGGTCGAACGAAGATCATCAACATCGGACATTTGCAGCAAAAGTTGACAAGGTGACATGATAGACAGTGGGACTCAATGCCTCTTTTTCAAAATGCGATGAAGTCAAACAGATTCTTTCAGGATGCAGAGGTGTAAAAACGATCCCCAACGAATTTCTCGTTAACAAACGGCAAAAAGTCGACAATCGTTTTATCTATACGCAATACTTATGCTTAATTATGCATTGGTCTTCAGAATTTTAATTAAAAAAGGAAACACAGTATGCCAGTGGCGAAAATATTTGTTCATTAGCGAGGGCATGTGTTTCTTAGATAACTAGTTTTGCTTCTCGAAATGTGGAAATTTTCGACAGACACGGCAAACACAAAATTGAATTATTCAACCTTCCTGCTCAGGGTGAATTCAGGAGTTTGGTACGCACTGAAGTGGCAAATAAAAACCTTTTAAGAAATTCATTAAATCATACAAACAGTCACTCCTGTCCGTAACTTTCATTATAACCAAGAGTCCATTAATGGGCTCCTGTCATATCTCCGTCAGCAGGCTCCAAAACAAATGGAAATACAATATATATTGCGCAGTTAGAGCACTTCTAGCAACGGAAATTGAGAACAAGAAAGGCAGAGACACTGTAAGAGCTGCTCTCAATCATAGCGGGGATAAGGGAATAAATGAAGAAAAAGTTTAAAATATTGTGTAAGAATATTCCTGTTTGATCCATTGGTCTCAAAGCAATAACACAAAGTAGGTTTTCCAGCCTCGTGCGTCATAAGGATATTTCAACAGGGATCCCACCTCTCAAATGAGGTTCTGAGTGGAGCCCTGGGCTTAGAAGCCGAACTTGATGAAAAAAATCCAGAAGTTGATTTAAAGAGAAAATGAAGAAGATATAATTATTAAAAAATATATATATGCTATGGGAAATGTTACACCTGAAAATCTTAATGTCAGTAGAAATAACCTGTCACTGCAGTTAATCATAAAAAAAAACTTATTGTTTAAATAAAAGCCATTAAGAAATATCCATCACCAAATTATCTTGAATAATTACACTGTTCAAAAAGGAACTTTTTCGCTTTAAAAAAATTTATCTGAAATGTGTAAGTTTCCTTTCCCTTAAGCAAAGTTTTCCTACTTTTATTCTAAAGGTTTATTATATGGACCAGAATTGTTTTTCTTTTCCTCTCCCTTTCTGACGACTTCGTTTCACCAACAAAGACGAAACACTAGCCCTGTAGGTCTTTATTACTAGAGCCTTAAATTGATATTAAAAAATTATTGGATGAAGTTTTCATGATATTCAGAATAATCAAAGTCAAGGTGGGGGTAATCAGCCGAAGGCTGAGGCTGGTAACCCTTCACGAGAAAAAATAAATGGTCACGATAGCGGTAAGTGGAATGGATAATTTATTTCTAAACATGTAAAAACATAAAAATCATCGGCACATACTTCAATTGACGAAAAAAGTCTTAGCATTCATTTGACAATATGTGAATAAAAGCTGGTTGAGAAAGTAAATAGCAGTAAATAAGCTTAACAGAAGTAAACATTACAATTGTAAAAAGCGAAATTCAACTATTTTTTCGATGTCTCGTTAGGTCAATGAAGTAGACCTGAAAGTCATGTTTTTGCTTCTTCACTGACGGCAAGCAACACAAAGCGCACGAACTTGACATGATTACCCTTAGAAATCATGCTCCGCGGTCACACATAACATGATCACCCCTGACCTTGAGTGACCTTGCCATGATTATTGTTTCATCTATAACTAGATGACGTCCCAGGCGCTGATTTAGAAAATTCACTGTATACGTTTTCGGCCAACCAGAAAATAGATAATTAGTCGAATGTATAATTATACATATTATCCATTATGTTGTCAGAGATCTAGCGAAAAAAATCTAATTCATAATTATTGTAATCCACCTTTACACAAAGTAAAGTTGCAGCAGTGAAGAAGAATAAAAATTTAGAGTCTTGGCACCTCACGTTAACGTGATCACCGGTACCTCGATAGTTAGTTTCCCCATCCCTGCGTCACGACAATGTATTTCGTACAACGTGACACTGCCTTCGATGGGGTTTCTCAAGGCGCAGTATCAACAGCTAGCTACAGCCACAAATGTCCACGTTCGACAGCTTTTAAATTTGTCGTAGAGTACTTTTGAGAATTATGCTGATTTATGAAGTGGTGATTAACTTAAAACAAAACGTTTATTTACAGTTACTTTTAATTGCATTGATACAAAACAAATTTTATTCGGTTTCCCGATGGAAATCTCAGTATCATAATTGCCTTGTTCTCACCTTTGCAATCCACAATAAAGACTCTTTAAGCAGCCCAAACAGTACCAAATTTCCACGCCACAAGGGTAAGTTTAGTTAATGTAATAGTCCGCTTTCCCAGGTTGTATCCTTGGAAGAACGTCGCCATGTTGTTTTTATTCTGCATCGTTTCCCTCGGTCAGCTGCAATATAGTTATGTGGTGTAACCATCATGGCGTGCGGTTGCACCCTGAGCGACGTGGTCACAAAGCATCTTCGCCGGAAAATGAAGATCTTTAGATCATTTCTGGAGCGTCATTTTAAGAAGAAAATGCGGAACACATTGATAAAGTAAGGCACGTACACACAACTCTAAAATCAAGGTTTGCTTGTATGAAACGCACAAGTTGAAATGTTCAATACTCCGAAACGATAGTATGATTCTCGTCTTGGTTATGGTTAGGGGTAGGCGTTAATTTGTTTTTCTCTTTTTGAAGTGTTAAGGAATTAACCCAGGGTTCATATCGGTGACATGAACTGTGGAAAAGACGAAAAAACCGTCAAACTCTCCGTCGGCTTCTCTTTGGCACCAGACTTGTTATTAGCGTTAATCTTTTCTAGAGATTGCCGGCCATGAGATGTTAAAAAGGAAACTTAATATGGAAGTAGAGGGGAGATACATCCTGGCTGAGCTCGAAATATTATCTTGATAGAGAACGAAACTCTGATGACCAATCATAATCAATATGAAGGGAATTAATTTATCGAGACTTTGCACCAGTAGTGGTGTCCTCAGTGATTATATCAATCCTGCGCATGGCGTTTTTCCTTTAAGAGGACGGGGTCACTGTTCAAGGTTATTGTACCGCAGATGTCGAAGACTGTCAATCGCATACAGCACAGAAATAAGGTTCAATTCTCCACCTTTATTCATAATAATTTTAAATAATAATGGAACTGGTGTGATATTCCAGCGACCTTATTCACGCACGTGGGAACATCTCCAGTATAAATAACTCAAGAACTGGCCATGTCAACGGCTTAGAACCGACAGCAGTTCATTCAGCACCTGTCCACTGCTTGCGTATGCAAATAGCCGACACAGGCAAATAAAAAAAATTACGGTTGTATCGATCTCATTCTGACAGTAACAGCATTATCTTTGATTCAAGAAATATTGCTCCACCCTCGCAATAATTAGTTAAAAGAATAAAACCAGTAGCAACTTACTCTTCGCCTACCCAATCGTTTAAGGAAGCTTAAATGTTCTTACTTTGGCTTCTCATTGACCTTTTATACTGTTTTTCTCTGTTCAGATTTGCCGTTGAGATTACTTTAGTCTCTGTTTTATAACATTTGACCGAAAAGCACTCTTATTTAGTAATCTTAGCTCTACCTTTGTTGTTTAGTAATTAAGACTCTGCGTCAATCAATAAACTTTTGAAACATGAATTCATTTTTCACCTGTTCAAAATCAGCTACGATTGTCTCACATTAACACTTTGGTTTATAGTAATTCCAAGAAGTGTAAGACAACTGAAGAGAAAAGGTCAGAGCAGATTTGCAAACAAAAGTAAAGGCTATGGAGACAAAATTTAACTGTGATACATAGCACTTCTCATAAAGAATGCAGGTCGTCACTTTGAGGAAAATACGACATTTTTCAATTTATTTGTTCAATTTACTTTCTTGAGGTTTTCAAGGACTCAAAATAACGAATATACCACTGCATAGCAGCTTTCCAGAATTCATAAATCTTGCATTGTGCATTCAAAAATATAAATAACTTTTAAAACCCTTTTTCGATAACAATATATCTTTTTTGCTTTATAATTTACAGCGTCACTGATTAGTCCTTGTTATTATGGCTTCAGTACTGCCTTGTCCAAAGCCTTCTGGAAACTTTCCAACGCTCTACGGAGACTCAGACAAAATCCGCGAGAGAGTGGAAACAAGGGATAATCGGGGCCGATCTTTTCCCACGAGGTCGCACCTTGACATACGCCGTCGTTCTCGGTTTTCGAGGTTTTGCCTTCGGGGGATGGATCTAGACAACTTGCCCCTTTACCCTCGGGGTCGTTGGCTTCGTTCGTAACGTCATTTTCAGCGACGCAGTTCTTTACAAGTTCATTTTGTCCTTGCCCCTCGTTTGGTTCTAGTTCTCCCGCTGAAGAATGACCGTTCAACATCTGTTCGTTATCGCATCCGGGTACAGACTTAGTTCGCGTTGCTTCTGCGACGATGACGTCATGGACGGTTTCTTCTATATGTCTCAGTTCACCAGCCGCACCATAATCCTTAGGGTCGCCATTTTCGCATTCGGACAGTGTTGTCTCCTGCTCGTGGAAAAGATCAATCCACCGCTTGAATTTTCGTATCATTCTGTGAAGAGGTAACAGAAATGATCATGATTATGGCTAAAAATTTTTACGGAAATATCTTGTTGCAGTCAAGGTACAAAGCTATCAACATCTCATGTCTAAGACGAACTATGCCCTCTTTCGAGTAGTAATTTCCCCAACAAAAAGTGTTGTCCGGCTTGAACTTTGAGTCAAAGTATTCAAAAACCAGCTGAATAAGTCGAGGTTCGAAAGACAATACTTAGGTCACCAACCTTACCGACAACTTTGCTCCTGCGGTTAGGACTGTAAGTGGATAATGAAGACCATGGCCTGATTTAACTCGAATTTTACTCCGAGAGTCCACGCTATCTCTGCTAGAGGTTTTACTTTTACCACGACAACTTCAAGAATTAATCTATAGCAAAACAGCTAGTTTCGGTACACATACTGTGTGTATCAGCCGCCTCGACCTTTGCCTGCATGTCTGTCCATCTGTTAGTCTGTCAATCCGTCTCTGTCTCTGACCAATAGACGGACGCACAAGTATGTCTATGTAAATCAACTAAGAGCTAATTAAACAACTACCGACG